CGACCGGGACAAGGTCGCCCCCGTGAGGTGGGTACCTCCGCCGCTTGTCGCCCTCGCGGCTTTGGGCGGCAAGGCCATCCCGGCCGGAGCGAGCCCGCTGGCGCGACTGGTCGTCGCTGTGAGCGCAGGCGAGGCTCACGTCCAGGTAGACCGTGGCGCCCGTCACCGCATCGCGGGTGGCGACGTCCAACTTGGCCTCCCCCCACTCCCCGGTCCTCGGGTTAGTCCGGTGCCAGGCTGACACCATCTGCTCTGTGGTCGCCACGTACCCCGTGACCTCGTGGTGGTAGGCCGCACACCAGTCGCGCATCTGGTCGTGTTTCCCTGTTCTGCAAGGGCCACAGGGGCACTTCAGCGCGTGCCTCCCGCGCTTGTCCAGCAGCGCGCCGCAGACCGTGCCGTCCTGCTTGCGGAGCCGGCACTGCGCTCCAGGGGCGCAGAGGTCGCAGCGCAAGCGGTCTGCTAGGGCCATGCGGAAGTGGGCGTTGGGGACCTTCGCCGGCGTCTCCCCCTCCCTGACCACGGGAATATCGAGCCACCCACCAGCTCCGGGGCCTCCAGCGGAGCGCAGGTCAACGCGGTCGTCTTCCCCCAGCGTCCGTAGCAGTTCGGCGCGCGCTCGAGTCCGAAGCAGCCCTGTCCAGTACCCTTGCCGGCCAGCGAGCGGTTCGTCCCAGCAGCTGGCCCAATCCACCGCGTCGATGGTTCCGCTGCCCTGTGCCCGTAGTCTCGTCTCTGCGCGCCCAATGGCGTCGGCCACAGCAGGGCACCGTGCTCTAAAGCTCTGCCGGGAGACCGCGCCCAGGCACACTCGCACGCTTTTCAACGTCAGAGCCCAGCTTCCCAGGTAAGCCGCCGCAGCTGTCTCCGCTGCCGAAGTCAGCCCCAGTCCTCCGTGCGCGAGTCTGAGAAAACACTGCGCTCTTTGGTCCGCGCGTAGCGGGCACCCGAGTAGATCTTCTATCCCTCTGACGACGGCGTCGCCCAGCAGCGTGGCCCAGCCCCCGTCTTCGTAGTTGGCCCGCAAAAGGTGGGCGATGCATCCGTCGCAGTAAGTCTGTAGCAGGAGGAAGCTTTCGCGGGAGCCCAGCCCGGCCGACCGAAGCTCGCGGAGTCTCGCCACCAAGCGGTCAGCTTCCTGCACTGCTTCGTGGCCATGTGCTTGTCCGTGCACCACCAGGCGCGAGAGAGGGTCTTCCCGGTCCACCCAGGGGGCAGCGGCCCCCAAGCAGCGTAAAGTCGGTTTCCGGAAAAGGGCGAGTCGCGGCGGGAGCTGCGTAGTCGGGTCTGCCGTCCATGCCACCGTCTCGCTCTCGTTAAGAGTGAGGCCAGCAGCAGCGAGGCCCTCCGCCACCGCGTCCAGCCCCTGCTCGGCGACAGAGGCGGGCAAGACAACCATGACGTCGTCAAGGTAGGGGAACACGCGGGCCGTCGGCGCTAGCTGGCGCAGCCGTGCATCCAGTGCCACCAGTGGCCCTGCGAGGGCTAGGGCGAAGTAGCCGGGGGAGAGCGGGCAGCCCTGGTCTACGCCCCGCGTGGCTCTCACCTCCCGGGCCGTGGCGCCTGCCCCCCACCAGAGGTGCGTTGTGGGGTGACATAGCCAGCTTGACGCCAGGCCCAGCAGCCACGGGGCGCGGGCGGCCACACCTTCGAGAACCTTCTCTCTGGGGATCGCGTTGAAGGCGTTAGTGGCATCGAACGCGAGAACCACGTCAGTCGGTGCCGCCGCCGTGAGGGCCGTGATCGCCTTGTGGACCTTTTCGCACCCTACTTTCCGCCCTACCGCGAACTGGCAAGGGCCGCAGCCGTCTCGAAAGGTCGTCTTGGTACACGTAGCAGGCGGCCCTTGTTGCAATCCGTCGCATCACAGAGCCGCAGGCCACCGGGCGGACCTTGCCGTTGAGCTTCCGCAAGGCGACAAGGCGCGCCCCCAAGTTCGCCCGCAGGAAATCGCCCGGGCACTCTCCGAGGAGGAACCGCACTGCCAGCTCCGCTGCGTGGTCTGCTGCCTCGCTGTCCGCCGTGGTCGCACCCCAGTGTTCGAAGCGGCTGCCATTGGGGCCCGGCCCGGACCGCGCCGGGTAACGACTGAGCTGTCGGCGCGCCGCGGCCACTAGGTCAGCGCGTTTCTCAGGCGCCACCGAAGCCGTCGCTTGGGGGGGTCGCCTGGGCAGCGCCCCGGCAGGGAAGAGGTTCAGGAGGGCGGCGTAAACCGCGGCGCCTGCGGCTAGGGCGCCCGCGCTGCGTGCCAGCGACAAGGCTTTGCTGAGCAAGCCCTCGCGGACCAAGGCGTTGATGGCCCGCGCTTCCTCCTTCAGGGCCCCCCCCCTCCCTCCCGGTTGCGCCGCGCGGCCGCCCGCCGCAGCCGCGTCTCGCCAGAGGGCGCCCCAGCCCCCTTTCCGCGCCAGTCGCAGGCGGGACGCGATGAGCGGAGACAAACCCCCTTCCTTCTTGCCGCGCCGGCGCGGGGTGGCCAGGATAAGTCCGTCGGGGAACGCGAGGAGCTTGCACGCCCGGCCCTCGGCGATGGCGTCGTCCAGGTCGCGGGCCATGATGATTTCCTTGCAGACCGTGCCCCGCAGGACCGCGAGGCCGTGGTGGACGTCTTTCGGCGTGTTGCCCAGCGTGGGGACCCAGTCGCGCAGCTCGTCGTAATTCACGGTGTCCCACCACTCCATGTTCTGGAGGTCCTCCTGCAAGTAGCCTTCGTGTTGCCCCAGTTGCTCTCTGTCTTCAGGCAAGTCCGCGTCGCCCGGCCAATCGTCGACAGGCTGCTGCGGGGGCTGCTGCTGGCCGCCGGCCGCTGCGCTTCCAGTTCCTCCTCCTCCTCCGTCTCCAGCTCTCTGTCCGGACGATGCCGCCGTTCCCCCTGGTTCTGCTGGCGCCGCCGCGCCGCCTCCCGAGGGCGCCGCGGCCGTCGCGGCAGGCGGGGCAGCCCTCTGCGCCACTCTAGCGCGTTTTGCTCCCCGCGCCTCCTCCGCGAACTCGGCTCGAGTCCGGCCGCCTGGTTGGTCGCAGTGAGCTCTGGCTTGGGCCTGGTCTTCGGGGCCCAGGTCGGCCATGCCCTCCACGTCCGCCTCCGGGCCCAGACCTCCCTCCAAGCACCCCACGCGGTACCATCGGGGGTTGGCTGTGCTCGCCGCGCTGCGAACCCGCAGCTCGCCACGCTCGATGGGGCCCTTGCAAGATGCGGCAAAACAGGTCCCCTCCTCCTGCTCCTGCTCCTCCTCCTCCTCCTCATGCTCCTCCTCCATTTTCCAGTGGCTCTCCCTTCACTGCTACATTCCAGGAACGAGGCAGCTGCGCAAATGATCAATAAAAACTTCTCTGTTGGGCTCCGCGGACGGGCGGCCGAGCACAGCGCCGCACACGAGCCGTAGCTCCGCGGACGGGTGCCCGAGCCACAGCGCCGCACACTAGCCCAACACCTCTCAACTCTCATCAATAGAAGCCTGCAGGCATACATTGTGAGAGCGCAAACTGAGCGCTGGCAAAAGACAAGCCAGAAAATCACTGCTGCGGACAGTTCACGTCGTCCGCAGGCGGAGCGATACCTTGCAGGCCGATCGCCTTGCCTCGCCCTTGGACACAAGAATTGAGCCGATCGCGCTTCCGAATGAAAGATCTGCTCAGCTGGCTGCCGCCATCAACAGTGTATTGTGAAGAAATATCACGAATGTAATCCAAGCGAAATCGCTTGCGGAGAAACGGTTGTCTCGACGGGCTGTTCACAACCTTGTACTGTGAAGAAATATCTCGGATGTAATCGAGACGAGCCCTCTTGCGAGAAAACGGTTGTCTCGGCTGACCATCTGATCGCACTGAATACTGCAGTTCAATATCACGGATATACCTGAGTTTCAGGACAGAGTGATGCACGGAGGGTACGGCTCCGACTGGCACGGAGGAGAATACCACCGCGCCGCACGAACATCGAACGCCCTCAAATGACGAACTCACGTCGATCGGGACCCACCGCCCCGCCCCAGGAATGAACTTGGCTGCCCCCGCGCGAAGCACATGGCCTCCAGGAAAGGCTGGCCGCTGAGGAGGAGGGCGGAACTCCGCTGCATCCGCTCTGAGCTCGTTGGTCTGCCTGCCAGCCTTGGATACAAGGAAACGGTCTAATACAGCCGATTGCCACACGCAGCCGCCACTGAGGGCGCGTGGCGGGCAATCACCCTGGCCTTCCAGCAACTTGCACACTATGGGAATGAAAGAATGCCCCTCGCTGTGCCCAGGACCGCCACCTCCAAGGCGGGGGCCTTTTCTGCGCCTGGCGCCACTCTGAGAGCGGCGCATCTGCACTGAGGCACTGCTTGGCGTGCAAGGCCACGTTCCGGATGAGCTTCTGCGTCCCCTCCACCGTGAGGCCGGCCACCTCCGCCGCCAGCACGGGCCTCGCGAGGGCCTCTCGCCGAGAGACCTCTGAGTCGGCACCGAGGGCGTTAATGAGGGCAGCCTGCAGCTCCCGTGCACGTTGGAGTTCGACTCGAATCCCGATGAGTTCTGCAGTGAGTTTCTGAACCAAATTGTCGGCAGAAGCGCGCGCCCCTGCCTTGCCTCTCAGCGCCAGATACTCGCCAAGCGCCGCAGAGGCTCCCGCAGCCACCATGCTCGCACACCCGACCGCCGCGCCTGGGGGGTTCGAGCCAGCTTGAGCCAAGGCTACGGACTGCTCCTCCTCCACCTCCTCCTCCTCCTCCTCCTCCTCCTCCTCCTCCTCCTCCTCCTCCTCCTCCTCCTCCTCCTCCTCCTCCTCCCCCTCCTCCTCCTCCTCCTCCTCCTCCTCCTCCATCTCATCATCAGTATCCTCCATTCCTTCTCCAAATTAAAAACTGTTCCCTGTCGCACCCCGAGGCCAGTTGTTTAGGGCGGACCGGGCGTTTCGCCTGAAACTTCCTCACCATGTATGACCCTGCAGCTTAGAAATAGCAACAATTTCACAGATGGAGGGTGAGTTGTTTTCAATATGTGGCTCTTGCCTTAGCGCCGCGCACATTCGCTTTACAAATTTGCAAAGGCTTCACGGATTGAGAGCGGGTCGTTTTCGAAATGTGGCTCTAGCCTTAGCGCCGCGCGCATTCGCTTTTGAAACATTGTATAGAAAAGTTTCACGGAGTGAGGGCGGGTGATTTTCAAAATGTAGTTTTCGCCTTAGCGCCGCGCACACTCGTCTTACAAATTTGCAAGACTTTCAGTGGTTGAGGGCGGTTCCTTTTCAGAATGTGGCTCTCGCCGTAGCGCCGCGCACATTCGTTTTAACAAATTGGAAGAGTTTCACGGATTCACATAATCAACATACCAGGCATGGTGCAGTAATGTTGATTCGCGGCGTTGAAGTCCAAGGAATGGCGTTGTGGCACGATTCAGGATCGTCAAAATGCAACACTCAGGTTGATCCGTGGCGTTGGAACCCCGAGAACTATTTTTTGGCATGCTTCCGGGGTTTCAAACGATTGTTTTCCAGCGAAGCAGTTCCCTCAGTGGAAATGAACCCTTGTAGGGGCCTGTGAAAGGGAGCTTGGAGGGAGGTTTATCATCATCATCCTCTGTTTCATCTTCCTCCTCCTCCTCCTCCGACTCCGACTCAGCATCAGTCTCCTCCTCTGTATCCTCCTCCTCATCCTCTTACTCCTGCTGCTCCTCCTCCGCCTCCTCCTCCTTCTCCTGCTCCTCCTCCATCTCATCATCAGTATCCTCCTCGTGATCATCATCAGCAACATCATCAGCATCATCAGCATCGTCACAATCATCAGCATCGTCATCACCAACATCATAATCACCAGCAACATCATCATCATCAGCAGCATCATCATCATCATCATCAGCAGCAGCATCATCATCATCATCATCATCATCAACATCATCATGATTATCAGCATCAGCATTATCATGATCAGCATCAGCACAATCAGCATCATCATCAGCATCATAATCATCATCATCAGCATCATCATCATCAGCATCATCATCATCATTATCCTCATCATCATCCGCATCATCATCCTCCCAATCCTCCTCATCCTCCTCCTCCACCACATCATCATCATCATCATCCTCCTCTTTCTCCCCATTAGCATCATCATCATCATGATCATCATCATCATCATCTGAAACCGATGTCCCGGTAGGGGGGGGGCTCTCCGTTCCACTTCGATCTCACCCCCTAACCTCCGATATGTGTAAACGTATACATACCTATATATGCATATATACACACCCCCTTATACAAAGAGAGAATATACACCTGTACAAAGAGAGAGAGAGAGAAAGATATAGATCAGAATTGAACCCATGTACATAGATGTATGATATGTATGTAAATATACATGTGTACATAAATGGATGTATGGATGTATGGATGTATGGATGTATGTATGGATGGATGCATGGATGTGTGTGTGTGTGCGAATATGTATGTATGTGTGTTTGTATGTATGTATGTATGTATGTATGTATGTATGTATGTATGTGTGTATGTATGTATGTATGTATGTATGCATATGTATGTATGTGTATGTATATGTATTTATATGTATGTATATGTACATGATGTGTTTATTTGCACGTATGTATGTATGTATGTATGTGTGTATGTATATCTATATATATGTATGCATGCATACATGTATGGATGTATGTGTGTATGCATGTATGTATGTATGTGTGTATGTATGTGTGTACGTACGTACGTACGTACGTATGTATGTATGTGTATGTGTATGTGTATGCGTATGTGTATGTGTATGTGTATGTGTATGTGTATGTGTATGTGTATGTGTATGTGTATGTGTATGTGTATGTGTATGTGTATGTGTATGTGCATGTATGCATGCATGCATGCATTTATGTGTGTATGTATGTCTGTCTGTCTGTCTGTTTGTCTGTATGTATGTATGTATGTATGTGTGTATGTGTGTATGTGTGTATGTATGTATGTATGTATGTATGTATGTATGTGTGTGTATGTATGTATGTATGCATGTATGTATGTATGAATGAATGTATGTATGTGTGTATGTATGTATGTATGTATGTATGTATGTATGTATGCGCGTGCGCAACTGTGCGTACGTGTGCATGCTTACATAGCAAGTGTGTGCTCAAACATCTACGTACACACATATATGCGGCCCTTCGCCCGAAACATGGTGCGCGTATGTTGTTCATGTCCACTACACTGTGCCAGGTGGGGGGGTGCGAGCATAGTTCCGGAGGTCATGGTCCCGTCCCCGATCTGGAGGTATGAGGACGTGGGACGCTCTCGGCCCCTCTTCGGCCTCCGTGGGGCACCTTGTCGCCGTGGCTGGCCTCGCAAAGAAAAGTCTGGCCAAAAAAGCACCCCAAGACACGTCTGGGAAGATCTGCAGCATGGCATTTGCCAACCCAAGGAGGAGCCCAGCGCATCTCCTCGCCATCGCACCGCAGCGGCACCAGCCCCGGCCGGACGTCGTGCAGGGGCATCCGGAAGCGGGTGGCGATCTGGTAGGCCAGGTC